CAACTTCGTGTATCGAGGCACAAGTGGTCCGCTTAAGACATCTTTCGCTATGTTAGGGACCTCCATCGTACCTTGCCTCCATTTCCTATTCTCTATTACCACCATTGGATCGATCCACACCCTTACCACTCGTCAACATTATGTTTCGGAGTTCTTCTAGGGTTGCTATCCTATCACGCCGGACCTAGTCCAGCCATTGTTCCAATCGTTCATGATCCTATATATATCACTATAAGAACTCGACAAACTACTCCCTTAGCATAGGACTCGGTCGCGGTGAATCTCCCATGATTGTTGGCTCGATACCGATATGTTATGACCTTGGGTGAGGGATCTAGTCACTAGTCGATGATCAATCCTAGGAACTAGAATTCTCCTAATGGTACCAACTCTATGCTTGCACCCTATGATAATCGAAGGTGTGCTCGTTGAGAGAAAGCATCAATCTCCGTAGCAACTATAAAGAAATCTAGCTTGCTTTTCTTATTGAAACGTATCCTTTTAATAGTAGAAGCCTAGGTGTAATTATTTTAGGTTGTTCGCTTGGAATAAAAAACACAATAATTGATGGTGCTAATCAGCTAAACAAGGAAATAATCAAAGAGGAATATTTCTAAAAATAATGCTAATGATGCCACTAAATCAGGAACTGAATTGCCGCCGATCTATTCTTTGAATCCTTTTCTTTTGCCCCTTTCTTATGCTACAATGACAGGCCACAAAAGCATCCCAACAATTGGTGTGAGGCATTATTTTTTACAAGCTATGATATTTGGTTGAATATATATGTGAGATTGGAGGATTAAGATGTAACAGTTCTATTTGTCATCAATCTTGAGCTGTAAAGTGTGCTAACACTTTTTGGTTAATAAAAATCTTCTTTTATGACTAACTATCATCAACTACCCATATGTCTGAAACTAAAAAGGAATTTTTTTTAATTAGATTGATTTTTTTCCTAAAACATTTGTTGAAACAATAAATATTAACAAAACATCTCATTAAAATTTGTCTAAAAGCAAACTTCTCCATTTAATATGTCATTTTGATTAATTCCCCTCATCCTTTTAATAAGTCAGTGATTCTGCAATGCATGCTTTTTGCGCCCCCCTCACGGGTCTACAGATTAAAATTTTCAAGACCTAAATCACAGTTGGAGGCTTTGAAACTTTCTGCTTGCACAACTTCAATGAGCAACCCTTTAACCATCTTATTCTACACACTTAGCCTTACTCATCCACCATCCTCCTTTTCCATTCAAAACATAGTGTTAGTTTCTTTATAGGCATCAATAGTTCTTGTACTTGAATATATTTACCACTAGAATATATTTACCACTAGAATATGCATATATAGCTTCTAATTTGTAATATCGAATAAGGGAGTTTCAGAGACAAACTCCCTGCAGATTCTGACAGAATTATTGCAAGATAACCTGTCGATGCCCAGAACCAGCTTGGCCCACATCCGTAGTATGCTAAACTCATTCAATGAACAAGAAAAGCAATAATTATGCAAGAAAAGTGGCACTCCAAGATACAGAACCTATAGAGGTTTAATATACAATACAGAAAACCAATTTTGAATATATGACAAAAAACTACCATGTTTGGTAACTTCCAAAGAGTAAATATCGCCTGATCTTAAATATATTCATGTCTACACACATGAACTCGCTTTCCAGTTTCCAGCTTCTATATTCACGTGAAAGAAAATCCTTTTCCTTGGGAAATTCTTTCCACCTGCACAAGTAGGTTAAAAGGAGTCTGTCAAGAAGATGGGAGGCAAAATAATCCAAAAGGTACAATACAAGCACCAAAATATCATTATTAGTAAAAACATCATAACTCAATTTTATTTTTTATGTTTTTTGTGAAAAAGAAAAAAAAAAAAAACCAGGACCATGCTTAACCTTGACTTTAGTTAACATAAACATCAAACGGATTTAGCATGTTGGAATTTTAAAGCAGGAAGACAACCATTACTTCAAACAATGGGGTTCACATGATACTATGTTTAAAACAAAAGATTTATCACTCAAAATATGTCCATAAACTAGCATTTTGATACATTTGCACTTTGACGCAATATTTTAATTGACTCAATGAAACAAGAAATAAATAACATTTACACCCCACAAATAATGCCTATCTTGGTTCCATCTCCAAAAACAAGTATCATGTGTCATGTGGGATTGTCAGAAGTCACTTCAAAAAATTTAACTAACGAGGAGAAGGTTATATCCCAAATCTAGGAATCTAAAATTTCCATGTTGCATTCTGCCAGAAATTATTTGGGAGAAGCAAAGTAGTGGAAATTGGAGGGGGAAAAAAAAAATTAAATCAATTATAATCACATGCCACCACTTAATACCAACAAGCTCTGAGCAAAAGTGTATTTACAAACAATGGGGTCTTACAAATACACAAACTTCACAGCGCAAGCTACTCCAGTAAATTTCTAAAAATTAAGTTGCGAGGACTAAGGTTATGCTTGGCATGACTTTTGGATTTTGATTGTAGTTTTTTAACTTTTGACTTGAAGAAAAGTCATAAATATGTTTTGATTAGGAATAAGTTTTTACTTAAATAAAAAATTTGCTACAAAATGAAGTCAAATTTTTGCTTTAATTAAAGGAAGAAATTTTTAACTTTTGACTATTGGATTCTAACTTACACAACCTCTTTCTTTCAAACAAGTTGCTTCAGGTCATTTTTTTACCAAACATACTTCTAACTTAACTCATTTTTGTCATGAGTTATTTATAAAAAAATAACTTTTGAATTACAACTCAAAGTCAAAAGTTATTTTGCATATATCATGCCAAACAGACTCTAAATAATAAGGAACAATTACACTAATTTTCAATGTTCAGGTGACAAAAAACTCCACTGTGATCACCCAGCCTAAGTAAAGATCCCTAGATTCAACTCATTTAGGGGTCAAGTCTGACACAAATATGGATTTTGATTCTCAGCTACTGCCCATAGTGACCAGAAAATAAACGCACAAGGGACAATGGTGATGCAGCCTGCATAACATGCAACACTCAAAGAAAGGTTTTATGATTGAGCATCATGGACATCGACATATAGCAGCAAACGGCTGTGAGCACATACTGCAAACAGAGCACTCAAATGCACCTTCCAGAAGAAGGATAAAAACATTAATGGAAAATGCTCTTTAATATCCTTAAGGTACTAAAGAGCTTATAGCCCAGTGGTCATGGTTTCTTGCAACAGGTCATGAGGTTCAAATCTTAGCAAACTAGTTCCATTACGAGCTTTGCATATATGTGTGCTGGGTGTGTGAATTTTTAAAAAAAAAAAAAACACAGAAAAAAATTTTGTGACTTGCAACCTCCTGTTAAACATTTTCCCCTAACTTTTTTTCAGAAGTCAGTATTCTGTGACATAAAGTGTCACCAAAATCATGCTGTTTCAGTAAAAAGTTTCCCAGTATCCCAACATTGAAGCAGCAGTCTCTCCACCTCACCAAACTGCTCTAATTTCTTATATCAGCTTCCCCTTACATCATCCTTCTATAACTATTATTAGTCCAATGTGATCTAGAGCAATGTATTAGTGATTATAACTCAGGACTTAAAGAAGCTTATAGGATTAAAAGTTCCGAACTTAAGCAAGTTATCCTCATCATGACTAATTTGCCAATTTCAAAACACTAAACCGCATTTTAATATTTAATTCCATTAATCCATCAAGCGTCCTCAATTTTTCATATACAAATCATGATTCTTATAACTCGTGTTTCCTCAAATATCATAAAAGACCTCATCCTATAATCACAAACTAACAGCCCCTTGATCTCTTTAGCCCAAATCCAAATGTTACAACATAACATCTAAAAACACAGACCCAAAAAAAGAAAAAAGAAAAAAAAAAAAAGAAAAAAAGAAAATTACATTCTCTATACTTTACAAAGGAAAGGACCTGCTCAGTTCTCCAAATTCTAAATTCAATTTCCTAAAATATTCTTCTCATAACCCCCTTGGATCTCTCAATCTCAATTTAATCACAGCAAGAAATTGACAGCAAACAACTCTTAAGAACATAGCGAAAAAAAAAAAAAAAAAGCGCAACACTTACCAATGATTTCTCCAATCCACAAAAAATCTTCATGCACTAGTTTGCGCAGCACCAGCCGACCAACATCACTACTATACCCCTGTTTCCCTCAAGGCAACCACGGGAATGAAACAGTAATACTTCTCTCCATTGTCAACCTTTCCAACTCACTCCCCAGTTCCCCTGTCCCCTGCGCATTCTACTCTCATAATAAGCATCATCAGTAGGCAACTCATATAACACACGCCTCTTCTCACTTGTGCCTTTATCCTAAACCCCCTCACCTTACAAATACAAAACTAACAAACCCCTAATCTCTTCAGCCCAATTCCACAAAAATGCAAAATAACATCAAAATACGAGAAAAATGGTATTTTTTTTTTTTTTTTAACATAAGGATCACTGACATGAGTATATATGCAAACCAAAGACCTACAGGCATCTTCAAGAAGAAAGATCAAAAGAACTAAAGGGAAATTCTCTTCAATAGCATCAAGATAGCAAATTGGAGTATAAGGTAATGAAAAAAACCTCTAATCCCTCAGGCCCAATCCCTCCCTCCCTCCCTCCAAAAAAAAAAAAAAAAAGAGCAAGAAATAGCTCATATGATAAACACAAAGAATACACTTAAAAATAAAAATTAAAAACCAACCCCGAATAAAACAGAAATACAAACAAAAGCAACACCACTGTCCAAAAGACCATCCCAAATTCCTCGATATCCAGTCTATTCATTCTAACTCCACGGAACTACTCATCTAACAACACTAAACCATAAACCCCTTAAGCAATCAATCCAAATTTAACAAAAGCAACAAATTTTACACCAAGAACAACTCAGATAGCACAATATTAAAAAAGAAAGAAAAATAAAAAACAAACTCACCAATAATCTCCAATCCAAAATCCGATCTTTCAAGAACTGCTTTGCCCACCACCACCACTTCCACCAAAAGCCCATGGAATGGAAATAGTAAACCTTCTCTCCACACCTCCACCAGTACCCTCACCGCCCCCTTGCGCTCCATGGGCTCTATTCTCATAATCAGGATCATCAGTAGGCAACTCATACCGACAAACCGGACAAGAATTATGCATCTTCAACCAAGGCATTATACAATCCTCGTGAAACACATGTTTACAAGGCATCCCTTTGACTTCTCCTCCTCTCTCAAACTCATCTTTACACACAGCACATTGATTATTCATCTCTGATTTCATCATCTCCTCAGTAACCTTCATCGTTGGCAACGCATCAATAGCCCTTTTCGACGCGGGTGGCGTCCCATACCTATTCGGGTCATTCTCAGCCAGCTGTTGGATCAGTTGCTCCAAACCCGATCCAATAAAATAATCACCAAAATTACCACCTGGGAGTCGAAGACCTGGTTCGTCCCCATTGTTCTCAATCACGAACTGGACCCGAGCACCACCAGAATGTAGGTTTTGGAGGTGAGAACGGAGGAAATCAAGGGGGTTAAACGCATTCGGGTCAGAGAATTCGGGTCGGGTTGAAAATTCAGGATGAGAGAAATTACCGGAGTTTTGGAAGAGTAGAGGGAAGAGGGAAGAGAAGGGATCAAAAGGATCGTTGAAAAACGAGTCGGAGAATGGATTCGGGTTTTGGGTTTCAAGTTCTTCAATGAAGCTATCATGGCAAATTGGGCAAAACGGGTCATCGGAGGGGGAGATAGTTATCGAGACTGCGTGGTTGCATCGGTGGCAGAAGAATTGTTTCAGTACGGTGGTCGTTGAGGCGGTAACGCCGGGTGGTGACGGAGCTCCGGTGAAGGACATGATTGGGATATTTTTTAGTTAAAAAGGAAGATATATATTTTTCTTTTTCGAAGAAACAAAAGTGAGTAGCGTCATGGTTCGAGGAAAATAAGGATTAAATACTTATAGGTCTCTTGTCCTTTTAAGGTTTAGGTTTTGTTTTAATTAAAAAGGGGGGGGGGGTTGGGTTTCTGGAATAATCAATGGGCCAAGTTAATTACAGCCCATTAAAAAGTTCATAAGTCTGGCTCAAAGACTTTAGCATATTTTTATTGAAAATTCCTTCCTGATATTACTTTAGGACTAATCGTAAAATTAGATCAGCTTGTATTTAAATTCTACATGTTTATTTTTTCATATCTTTTTACAAATCTAATAGCTTTTAATTTTATCTTCTTCTTTTTTAAGCCATTCGTCAATTTATTATTTAGACATATTTTATATTGAATATATATTTACCTGAAAAACCCAAACCCGCCTAGTTTATTATAATATATATCTTCAAAAAAATTAAATTGTCATGTGGCATTAAAATTCTTCTTCTTCTTTTTTTTTTTTTAATGAATCACGTGGGATTTGAATTTCTCACATAAGAATATTTATGTCAAATTAAAGATATAAGGATAAAATGTAGACTTGATTTAAAATATAAAGATAAATTAAATCAATTCTCTAGAATAATCTCCTTTGTTAGATAAGTAAGGTTTATTACTGGTTCCATTCATTCTATGAACAAGATTTTTTAAAATAATAATAATAATTTGGGCAAAATATTTGCAGTGAAAAACAAACTATATATAAATCACGCATTACGCATGCATGCATTAAAATTTTGATAGAAAGCAAACTATTCATGTTCGAAACTATGAATATCACAAAGGTTTTGCATTTACTACTGAATTTCTTCATTTATTTATTGTTTAATTGTAAAAAAATAATTAAAAAATGGGATTAATATTCCGAGTAGTATAAATCGGACTAAACCATTTATGGTCAGGTGACAAGCAAATAAATATGGTGTGCATTTCAAAGATTGTAGAGGCCCGTAGATCTGAGAGTCGGGACAATAACATCTTGCTTTTTATAAGAGTTATGGATTTGTTTTGTTATGCTTGCTTAGTGTTTGTTATAATTAAGAGTAGAATTATTTAACCCCGTAGATCTGAGGGTCGGGACAATTATTCAGCTTTTCTTGCAGTGGTAATTTGGTCTTTTTCTTGTGTTGAGACAACATACAAAACCATCTCCTAACCAAGCCACCGCCACTGTTCTACATTTTTGGCGAAAGGCAAAGCGGTTTGCTCCACGATAGTGGTGCTAGAGTGGGTGCCGGAGGCAATTTCTTCTACTGTTCTAACTTCAAGTAGACTTCCCAAAATCCTTTGTTATAATTACAGATGAGGCGAGTTTTTATGTGTTTAATGTCAAAAACAGCCAATAAAAGTAAAAATTACTAGTTCAAAATTCGCTAACAGAAAAAAATCCGAAATAATAAGAACAAGGGTTTTGAATCCATATTAACAGGCTATGCCACTTAAAAATAATATAACTGAATCCAAGATCCAATATCAAATTTAGAGTTAAATTTGTAGGAAGCCAAAATTAATAACACTAGTAAAATAAAATAATAAACATAACCTCAAATAAAATTAAAAATAAATAACATAATATATAATAAAAATATACGTCATTGGAACCAAATCGGTCTCTTATCCTAAATCTATCTATCTAGCCTGATATAAATGACACGACATCATGTAATCACATAAAATTGCAAAAGGTGAGCAAACTAAGCATATAAAAGCTACAAATTATGTAAAGAAAACCTCACAAAAATTAAAACCGTTAATTGTTCTCCATAAGGTCTTTGGCCTATTTATTTATATTGGCTCATTTTAACTTTGCTAATTTTATAATTGACCAAAAGTTCGCAAAGAGCTTCTAAGCACAACTAATAAAATTAAAATGTAAATATAGAATATTTATCTTTATAGTGACCTAATTAACAAAATTTAAATTTAAAACATCAAGTATTCATGTAAATGTATCCAAATCAAGTTTTATCTTTTCACATATTTGCATACATTAATTTTGAACAAAGAAAAGACGCACTAGCTGATAACTTGTGTCTCAAGACTTACATTATTCTATTAAGTCCAATTAAACAAATAATAATTTATGTAATCACCCTTAATCTAGCACAAATCATTTTAAGAATAAATAAACATTGTAAAACCATTTAATCATCATGTACATACCACATGTCGCTACTCAATATTTAAGAGACTTAAAAAAAAAAAAAAAACTATTTGTTTTGTTTTCGTTTATTTTGATTATTAAAGAGACGTGAGTTAAATTATATTTTTGAGTTGTCACCTAGTATTAAAGGAAACTAGGAAACCTAAAAATGACATTGATTCAAAGATTCTAAGAAAAAGAGTTATTTATGTTTTTGGAAAGATATCAATCACCCAAAAGCATCATTTTCTAAGAAAAGTATCATTACTAGTTTTATCTTAAAAATTTATATCCTCAAAATTTTTATTTCTTGCTAAATTATTTATGAGTCCATTTTCAAGTTTATTACCTAAGCCAAATCAATTTTTTTATTTTAGTTTACGGTATCATATTGAACCGACTCGTTGGATTTAGTTGTCGGGAGTTTCGTCAATTTAACATTGAATCCAATTTAAATCTTGACATAACTTGTATATCGGAGAACGAACTAATTGTTAAAAGTTGTTGATCTTATTTAATTAATAATATTAGTCCCTATTGGACACGAGACTTGTTAAATTAATCAAGCATTCTTTCTTCTTCTTCTTCTTCTTCTTCTAGTTCTTTTCTTTTTCTTTTTTTTTTCTTTGTATTTTTTTATATTTTTTTTATCATTTTATTTCTCTCCTAAAATTGACATTGATTCAAATATTCTAAGAAAAGGAGTTGATTATGTTTTTGAAAAGATATCAATCACCCAAAAGCATCATTTTCTAAGTACCATTACTAGTTTAATCTTAAAAATTTATATCCTAAAAATTTTTATTTCTTGCTAAATTATTTATGAGTCCATTTTCAAGTTTATTACTTAATCCAAATCAATTTTTTTATATTAAGCAATATTTAATATTAAATAAATCTGAAATTAATTCATAAAACCTAAAATATTAAACCCCATAGCCTATTTAAAAGTGTAGAATCATCCAAATTTTAGATTTAATTAATATTAAAAAATATAGTAAATTGAAATTTAAAGCATTAGAACAATTAATAACTAGGCATGACATTAAATAAATTTAAAATAAATGGGCAAATGAACTTTAAAAATTCTAAAAATTAAACCAAAGTTATAAATAAACGAGATGGAACATAAATAAAAATTTCAAATTTAATTGAGAAAAGAAGAACAATTAAATAAATCCTAAAAAAATTTTGAAAACCATTAGGCATTTGGGCCTATCGAGCTTTTGACCCACCGAATAAGCCTAAGCCCAAGAAGCCCCATCCAAGCCTTTTTTTTTCTTTTCTTGTTTCCTTTCCCCTCACTAGGCCAAGCTAAGCCTAGCCCTTTCTTTTCTCTTCTCTTTTCAAGCTAAGCTCGAGCTTAGCCTTTTTTTCCCTTCTTTTCTTTTCTTGTTCTTTCCCCGGCCTAAGCTTTTTTTTTTCTCCTTGCCTTTTCGTTTCTTTCGTTTCTTTCTTCTTCCTCCTCTTCTACTCTTATTTCCCCAACTCTCTTGGAATTGGAATTGGGATGATCAAGCTAGTGTGACCCTATAACTTGAATTTGTGTGTTGGGATGTTCATAAAGAATCTAAAAACTATTCTGAAGTGAAAACAAGAACATAAAAACAAAAATGGATGTTCACGAGTACTTAGTTTGTGTCGAGAGTTAGCAGAGTTGTTTGGTCAAAATTAAAAAATGGAGTGTCTTAGGAGGTTTGGTGTGAACCTATGAACTAAATATAACTTGAGGATGAACTTGAATAACCTAGAAATGAGCTTGAAACCCGTAAATCCCCTTCTCTAAAACCCGAAAAAACTTCTCTAAAAACCTAACATTTTCACCAAAATCTTCCTTTTTGTTTGCCTTTTCCTCTTTTTTGTGTTCGGATAGGTTTTGATTATCAAGGTTGTGTATTTGAGAGCTAAATTTATATCCTCAACAACCGAGAATTCTTCCTTCTTAAACCTGCAATGTTTTTGCCTTTTGAAAAACCAAAAAAAAAAATCCCTTTTTTAAAAACTAGAAAGTTTCTTCTCAATTCCTCCTAACATGCCTCATTTATAGGCAAATTACATCCATCATCCATCATAGGATCATCCCCAATCAAATCTTAGATCTTAGATCTTCCCATTAAAAATAAAAAACATACGCTCCTAGTGTTCTTGGTTGTTTATGAATAGAGCCAAAAATCAAAAACAAAATCATAGTGCGTGTGTGTGTGGCATAGGTGGTGTTGAGGTGGGGGCATAAGTGTGTGGAGCATGATTCTTCGCCGATAAATTACCAACCAAAAGTGAATTTGTATTATAGACCAATTGTCTTTATCGAAGACGATGAACAATACGAGGGATTGATTTTGGGTTGCAGCGAACGATGGTTTGTTTGGCTAATTTTGAACTCCGTTGTCAACTCCTCATTTTCGCTTTAGTCCTCGCGTGTTTTGGTTTTTCATAATTATACTTTCAATTCAACTCACCCCTATTAGATTTAAATTTCACTTTTGATTTCATTTAATATGCCCCTATTTCATTCAATTTCATCCCTAATTTTTTTTCCATTTTAGTTTTGATTGCTTTCAATTCTAGTCTATGTTTTATTCAATTCTACCCCCTAATTAATTATGTCATGTAATTTTTTCTTTTTTCTTTTTTTGTATTTTTCTTTCATTTTTTTTCACTTATATTTTTTAATGCAAAATAAAAGGAAATTGATTTTTTTTTAATGTTTATGACAAAATAAAAGGATAAATTAAAAAGAAGCTAAAATTTAAAAGAAGCTAAAATAAAGGTGATTAAAAGAACAATTGTATTTTCTTTTTCTCATTTTTTCTTTTATTTTATCTTCAAAAATTAGAACACCATTAAGACCTAATTAAGAAATAAACCCAAATTCAAATTCATGGATCATTAACTACTATAAAAATAAAATAAAATAAAGGAATTAAACCTAATTAAATTGGAGGATCCAAAATTAGGCTATGACATCATGTACATATGAAAATTAAATTAGAAATAAAAAAAAACATAGGCCTATTGATGCAACCCTTTATTAATGAGTTGGCAAGAGTATGAGTTGACAAGTAAGTAGAGTTGACGAGTTGGTAGCTCATATGGCAAGAGGTGTTGGTACTCGTTAGTACCTAAAGAATTATTAGGGATTAGTTACTTTGTTAGCAATTAGAGGAAAAGTTAATTGAGTCTATTAGCTAATAATAGGGAGTAAGAAGAGTGTGGGAATCGGTTGTGATATTGGCCAAAATCTCTCTTTCTCTCTCTCTCTCTCTCCCCTAGTCTTCCCTCTTCTAGCTCTTTATAGCTTTTTTGTTCTTCATTTTTACATTTTTATTCTTTATAATCTATTGTACCGTATGTTTCTAGAATTGTTTTCATTGATAGTAAACAATATTTTTATAATTCAATTGAAAAAAAAAACTCGAGTTTTTTACTTGTTTTTGTAATTCTTAGTGTTTTCTAATTGATTGGAATTAAAGTTGCAGCAATTGGTAGCGATGCAAGTCTTGGCATCGTGGAAGTAGAAGAGGAAGAATCAAATAAGAATGGCCAAAGGGAATGTTGACTCGAAAAAATGGAGGAATCGATTACTCTTATGTCTAAGGTAATTTTTGAGCTTTCTCATAAATGTAATAATGTGTTTGAATGACATGACAAAGATATTGTTGAATTCAAAGAACTTGTGAGAGGATTTAGAAGTCCAATAGTTGATGAGATGGTTATTAAGCAAGATAATGGTTTTAATAATGAAGGAGTTGGAAATGTCAATGGGGTTAACAATTATCAAGAATTGGTTCGAATAAATTGGTATTACCTAAATTTTTTGATTTGATTAATTGTGTGGGGTTTAATGAAATAGGTAATAAAGATGACCAATGCTCGACTTTTCTCGCTAAAAATCATAACTTGAATGGGTTTTCATTAGAAATCAAATAAATTCAGTTTGATAACAAAAAAAAAACTATTATAATTCAATTTAAAAAGTGCTTGAAAAGTGAACTATCCTTGAAGAATAAATTTGATAAAGGTTTGTTGCTATAGGGTTGTCAAAAAGTGAAAGTTATCGTGGTTAATCAAGATAAAAGTGAATTTATTTTTGATATTATTGATAAAACTAAATAAGAGAATTTAATTGATATTGTTAGCACCTAAATTTTTCTCCTAAAAAAATCAATAAAAATGAAAAGAAAAAACTAAAGAAAATGGATTGAAAAGTACAATCGAATGATGCAATTGAAAAAAAAAGAGAAAAAGACCAAAATAAACAAGCCTACAAGATGAGGGACCAAAATGAAACTTAGAAAAAAAAACCCTAAAAAATCAATATAAAAGCCTTATTTTTTTCAAAACCTTCCAGCTGCTCTCTCTCTAAAATTTTTTGACCGATCTCTCTCTATAGAAAAAAACTAATCAGTCCCCACCCACCGCCATCAACTATTTAATGCTATACACACTCAGCCACCACCGACAGCAAACAGTTTTCTCCTTCACTCGAAGCTACAATCAATTCCTTCTTCTAGCAATCGTATCATCTAATCTTTTTCTGCTAACAGTCGCATCGTCAGATCTGCTTTGCAGCCAATAGTCTATTAAGTTGTCGTTTGATCCTGTCCAGCAATAGTCGTCTTCTCCACTTGAAGCCATAACAGCCTCATGACAGCTGCTATAAGTAGCAGCTGTCACTGCCCTACGAGCCATCAAAGCCAATTGATCCGTATTAGCCATCGCTCGATCTACTCTGATCCAATTGCCAATAGCTTGCTAGTCATCAATCGTCTCCTCTACAGTCCTATCCAATTATTGATTCACGAACAGTAGCTGTTGATGTCTATCTAATCACATTCTGATCACCAACAACAATCTTATCTCATCGAATCCAGATCTGACAATAGACAGCCATCCTTCCTCCTTAATTGATCAAACAATTGGTCTCTATTGGAGTTGAGAAGGTCGAAACTCACCTAATTTTGACAATCAAATATTCTTTCAGCCTTTTTGCATTCTTTCAACAAGTAATTTATTCTTAATCATTAAATTTAATTTGTATTAAATTTATATTTGAATGACAATAAATTAATTGAAATGTTGTTGTGAGATTATTTAATTGATATGTTTAATATACAACATAGTGTATCGGGCCTACAAAAAGACCTCAGGTAAGATCGAGATGAAATAAGAGAGTAGTTATTCTATAATCATCATTATTATTTCTTGTGTGATTGAATTGCATTGGTCTGAATACCGTTTTAGACCATTTTTACTAATGTTTTCATTAAATCGCTCATGTGCTAATTTGCCTAGAAAATATAATTCTTGAGTCGCTCCAGTACGAATCCCATTTTTGAGCCACTTTTGTCAGTTGTAATGATTTATTTTTATATTGTCGCCAATTCTTTTTAAAAAATGTGATTCTTGAGCTACGTTGGTCTGAACCTCATTTTTAAATTATTTTTTTTCATTATGAAGATTAATTTAATATTGTCACCTATTTGTCCATAAAAATATGACATTTGTGTTGTGTCTGTTCAAACCATTATTTGGATCATTTTTCCTAATTTTGCCTAAAATGTCATCTTAGAAAATTATGCTTTTTAAGTGATGTCGGTCTACACTTTTGGTTTGAATCGCTCATGCCAATATGACTTGTCATGCCAATTTTACTTGTCATGTATTTGAAAATTATGACATTTGAAGTCATGTCAATCTAAATCCCATTTTTAGATTATTTTTATCAATTTCAATGATTTTGCCAATTTATCTAGCATTTGAAATTTGAAGTCGTATCGGTCTGGATCTTGTTTTTGGATTGTTCTTTGTCATTTTTGTCATTTTTATCTATTTTGTCTAATTTGTCATTTTTTTCGCTTTTATCTAATTTGTTATTTTTTCGTTGTTGTCTATTTGACCTATTTGCCTATTTTTAAGCCATGTTTCCACACGTTTCATTTATGTCGCATTACCCACATATTCTTACACACTCAATTGTTCCTTTCATGTCATTTTTATATTTATTCATTTTAGAGTAAGGACGAGGTCTATGACCGACTAAGTGCCAAATCACTCACCCAGCTAGCAAATGTTTAGAAAATGGACATAGATTTTCATCATAAAAAACAAAAATCAAATCAGATTTATATGCAATGCAGCTTACCTTAGGCAGCACAGGATAAGGTGATTTTAATCTTCTCTACACATAACAAACTTTTTACCTAGAACTCGAATAGATCAATCATATAGTTTCCTATTAATAATAATACTAGGTGACGACTCCATCATTTTTGTCCTTTTCCTATTTTTCAAAATCTTCACCCCGTAACGTAATGACAACTCCATTGGGGAGGCACACTTAGGGTCGAGCTTTGCTTAAAATTTTAAATTTGATTTCCGATATATTTTATGCTTGTATCTCAATTGACATAATTTGCTTATGTTTTTAAATTCATGCCTTTTTGCTATTTTCTACCTTTTTCTCGCTTTTTATTTTATTTTTGTACTTTAATTTATGTCTTTACTTTTATATTTTAGGACCGCATATGGAATAATGCATATGCACACACTACACCCATTGTTATTTATTTATTTTTGTTATCACACATATGCCCTCGTACTTAGGGAGGTAGTAATGGTTCTTCGATGAGTTTTTCACTAGTTACTCGTCATATGATGAGTAAATGATGATTTTTCATGTTTACCAATCATCAACTTTAATGATCCCAACGATTCTAGTATGATTCATCGGAGTTAAAAAGACCCTATTTGAGAGTTAAATAACCCTATTCCATTCATGTAATGACTTAGAATCAAACATAAGGATCATCATTCCTAAGTAAATTTACTATGCAAGTCGGATGTATTAAAATCTTGATCAAGCAATTTTGTCATGACATTTCGGGATAGGTGATGAAAGGATTTAAGTCCAATTTTTGCAATGCCTAAATAAGAAAGAGATTTTGAAGCTCAATCAGTTTATTTCAAGGGTTATAGAGAAAAACTCAATTTCATCTTTAAATTAGTTGATAATGGAAGAAATCTCTACATCGTAACATCCTAAAGGTTACTAATGAAACCTAACTTTAGCTTTAAACTAATTTGGGACAATTTTATAATGTTAAAGAATTAAGGATTTGATCCTCTTATCATCACCACATGAAGGTTATTCCATATTCAATCTCGAGTGTCATTTTATTTTTAATGTATCGTTCATATCTTTTATTTGTTGTTTTTTTCGAAAAGAAACATAGGTTGATCTATCAAAACTACACTTTCCTCGCATATTTATCATACTAGGGTAAAAGAAAATATGAAGAACAAAGAAAGGGCTTAGGTTGATAAAAATCACTACAATGAGATATATGCATCAAGGGAGAGGTTGCTAGGCTTGCTACTTTGTTATAACAAAGTCTACAAAATAACATGTCTTCAAAAATTGTCATTCAAAAAGAAGTCGACTAGTCATGTGTTTTGCCATGAGTGTTCACTTTCATGTCACCATCGATCGCACAAACTGCTACTCCGAAACAAATTTTGGTATGGTCCATTTAGAACTTGTTAGTACCACTAATCATGCCAACCATCTTATGCTTGGAGGCACATATATCTTCTAGCCCCGCTCTTGATTACCCTAGACACTCCAAGCACCAGCGACAATAACCGCTAATTTCATCATTAAAGAGCAAGACAAAAAAAAAAGATAGCCTCAAAACTTGAAATAGAAAAGCTCATAGGCATTAAAGAATTCTTGAGTGTTATCGAAGGTGCGGACATTTATGACCATCTCCTTAGTGTAGATAAATATCTAATCCCGAATGTGGTGATTCCTAGGAAGTTCAATATGCATGAACTTACCAAGTACACCGAAGTCAATATTTTAAGACTAACTAAGGATTTATTTAAACACGATGGTTGAGATAACATATGATGAAAAGCTACTAATCCACTTTTTTGCTATTAATCCACTTCTTTCTTGAGAGTCTTGCTCGAGTCTACTATCTCCTTGTTTATTGATCCGGACCAAACCAAGATTAAAAAGTAAAAGGATTTGATGGATATACTCATGAGGCGAGTATAAGTTTAACTTAGAGATAACACCTAAAAAATCAAGCCTACGATCTATAAACAAAGGAGTTTGTAAGGGAATATGCTCAATGATGGCAAGAAACAACTTCTCAAATTTGCTAACCCCTTCGAGAAAGAACTAGTTACTTTTTTTTTTTATCAAGCACTTTCAAAGCTCCATACTACGACTATTTGTTGAGTAATGAGTCAAACAACTTTATTGAGATAGTGTCTCGTCGCTAATTAAATTAAACAAGCCATCGAGTTAGGAAGAATAGCCGACCCTATAGAATATGGGCATAAGAAGAGTAACTTTAGCTAGAGAAAAGACTCAAAGGTATATTAGATTAGGGAATATTCTTTTAATTCTAACGAACTTCAAAACAACATAACTAACCTAGCCTAGTCGTATAGTTATGATTCCTACAAGGTAAAGAGTAACTTTAGCTAGAGAAAAGACTCAAGGGCATTAGAATAACTCTAGGAGGAATAATAGTTTGTTTATCTATCAAAATAACATACTTAACCTAGCCGTATAGTTTACGATTCCTACAAATGTCCATCTAACCAATGTAGCTAGACTAACGACCCAAACGCCAAACATTCCTTCCCAAACACCAATTTCACTCTTTACCAAATTTTCTAAACACCCGTCAAACCACCATATCAAGCCCAAACATTTTACTAGAAGCCACAACAATTCGATAACCAATCAAGGCCACTTAATAAAAACTTTTCGAGGAATATCAACAGGAGATAATTCAATGACATATTATTGTCCCTTCTCATATCTCTTGATAATCTCTTTAAGCACCTTGTAACCATCAATCATATGGCTTTAATAACACCAACTCCACCTTAACCAACATTTCCACACTAGTACAAGCTAAACGAGGTGTGTGAATATCATAGTAGCATCAATGGTTGTCATAACCCAAAACTTTCCCATATTTTGGTTATTTTATTTGTTCCTTAATTTTTTTAATTTAATTTTATCTCATTTTACTTTATTTTAAATTTTACTATAAAAAAAAAATAGAAAAGAACAAAAATACAAAAAAAAAAATATTTACATAAATTCAAAATAAAAATACAAGAAAGAAGAAGAAGAAGAAGGACTCACTCCTCTTAACCCCATAAATCTCCAATGAAAGAGCATTTTCCCTTCATTTTAGGAGGAAGGCACAAGAGGGCCTCCACGAAAAACCCTAAACAATGTAGAATCTAAAAAAAGAAAGCTGGGCAGCCATCTTCATTAGAAAAAGATGACTGCCATGGATATTTCTTCACCCACCAAGCTCCAACCAATCTCCTATGATCATCTACTTGCAAACAACCCAAACAGTAGTTTCATGTGTCCCTGAGGCCCAGCTGCATCTTTACTGCCCAAAAACCTCATATTAGCAGCCCAAACAGCTTTTCCCTTGTCGCTCACACAGTAGCCCCAAGCTCCAGTAGCCACCACCCCAAGTAGCAACTTCTGCCTAGCTCTTCTAGCCATTCCCTATAACCACAAAAAGCTCTCTAGTTGTTACGTCATCTCACCAAAACCATCGCTCACAGCTGCAAAACTATCACTCCTTTTTTAACCTCCATTTTCCTTGTCTTCCAAAGATAGAATTCCATCTACAGAAACCCACACAATCCGCTGCCTCTCCACTAGTGACCAAAGCCACTATCTTTAGCCTTCACCATATATAGTTATTCCTCCCTCCACCAAGCAGTAGCATCTCCCTCTAAATAGCCACTCTAATCAGCCCCAAACAGCCCTTAAATTATCTCTAAATAGCTGAAACAAGACAAGAACCATCTCCCCACATCCCATCTCGTTTCCCTCACCTCATTGAAAACCATGCTAAATATCCCCTCGATAATAACCTATTACAAACCCAATCACCATCTTTAATGATTCTAGTCCCTCCCTAAAAACAAATGTAGCAGGGGCAACCATCATGGAATTAATGGCACCCTAAAATTAGCTTTTCACTTTCAGTTAACATAACCCTTTTTGCATCTTCCATTTTTTTTTTTAAAGGGAACCCAGTTGCTGTAATTGACTGTAAGGATTATCTCTTTCTTTTAACCAAATATAACAGACCCACTCTACTACACCAACGTTCTTACCTTGACCGAGCCACCAATAACCACTCATTAACTACCAAGTTCCCTAAAAGCCTTCTTCATCAGTCATCTCTTTAACCATAAACCCATACCATTGATTTCCTTTCCCTTCCACTACTTGGAACTCCACTGTCAAGCCCGTTCCTATACAGTAGCCTGCTGCCTACCCAATCAGTAGATACATCTTTTCATAATCCAAAACATAAACACTTAGTGTGTAGCTCCACAAGGCCATTCGAATGTAACTATACCAAGCCTGAACACCATCTATTTCTCCTTTCCTTCATGCCATCTCCTCCTCAAATCCAACTAATAGCACGAATCCTCCCTACAAACTATACCACATAATCTACCACATAATCAACCCAACCTCATTTCACCATGAGTTCGCATCTAGTTTACTCTCTCCAATCCATAACCCACATTTCCTTCATACCTACAACTCCACTGGAAGAGTCATCTCTCTCAAGTTCCTAAAGCCATAAGCAATAGAAGGAGAAAGAGGATGTCGTTGATCACACAAGGAAAACTCGATGGTTAAGAAGGTTGGGAATTGATGAAATCATGGTTATTTATTGTGGAGTTTATGTTAGGAATTTTATGAGAGAAGAATTCAAAGTCTGTTATGGAGGTTGAATTGTTATAGAGAATTTAGGGAATGCAGTTGAGAAATTAGAGCAGAAGGTGATGGAGGAGAAGTTTGTGCGATTTTGGTCAAGTTTAAAAAACATGAGAGGCAGAAAAAGAGTAGAAGATGAGAGGTATAAATTTTTGGTTTTGTTTAAGCTTAGATTTTTATTTTTTATTTTTTTTAAAAAGAATTGTTACAGAGTATATGTGCTGAGCCTTATTCTTAAAAAGGGATTGAAAATGAGAAAGGGTAGGACTTGGCCCAACCTCGTAGGTAGTTTAAATAAGCTGGGCTAAGCCCAACTCTCGTGGCAAAGATTGGGCTGATTTTAGACCAGCCCAAGCCTAGAAAAAAACGAAATTTGAGGGGAAAGGCTTGCCTGCTCATCAATCCAGGCCTAATGGGCCAATGCCCACTGTCCAATAATAATAATTAAAAAAAAAACACTCAAGGTCCTAGTTTTGTTTTTTATAGATTAATTCTAAATTTTATTTTATGGATTTTTTAATGTTTCAAATATCTTTAGTTTATTTAATTAGCACAATTTTGAATTTTATTTCAATAATTAGAATAAATGATTAATGGGTAGACAAATTGTCAAGTCTCTTAATTTTTAAGAATTGATAACGATTCTCCATCGATAAAAAAATAAAATAATAAAAAAGATCAAAAAAGGGAAGGATAATAGTCAATTTTAATTTTAAGATTTTGTTTCAAATTAATTTAGTAGTTAATAGGTAGGCAAATTGTCAAGTCTCCTAATTCTTAGGGATTAATGATAATTTTTCATTGAATTATCAATAATTAGTTTTGTAGTTAATAGGTGAATGAATAGTTGAGTCTCCTAAATTCTTAGGAATTGATGATGATTTCCCCTTGACATGTTAATAGATAGGTGAATTATCGAGTCTCCTAAATTGATAGGGACCGATGACTATTCTCCATTGAATGATAAGTCAATAACATTTAAATTGGCTCGAAAAATTGAAGTTTAAATTGGAAATAACTTGGCACAAATAAAATACATTAGTAGGTGAATTTAATACTAAACTAAATGTGGTACATTTCCTAAGAAAAGGGATCTTTGAGTGATCGATATCTTCCAAAGCGTAACCGACTCCTTACCCAAGAATATTCCTAATTCCTTAATACTAGATGGCGACTCCAAACTCAACAATAATCTGTATCTCCAAAATAACTCATAAACAAGATGAAAACATATAAAAAATTGATATTTTTTTCGAAAGTCTCATCCGACATTGGGTAGCGATAGAATGACGACTCCGCTGGAGATTAGAGTTAGAGCTATATGTTTAGTCTATTTAAGTTTATCTCATATATTTATTTTTTTAATTATTTTCCAAGTATTTTTTTGTCATTTTATTTTGAGCTATTTATTTCTTGTACATGTTTTAAATTTTTGTAATTTATTTTCTTATCACATATTTATTTTTGAACTAGGTTGGATGTTTTCTTTGAACCGTTACGCACACCACTAAGAAAACCTATAAAAGCTCTAGACTCGAGTTAAAATCTTATATAATTTAGATAGAGAAATCTAGAGGCAAGTATGATGAAAGTCTACTAATGGTCATCCGAACTATCATTTGATCGGAACTCATCATATGCATAAGAAATGATGGAATAACCTTCCCATACCTCTTCGTGCATAAGATTAGAGGCTGAATTACCCCACTAGTAATTTAGACTATTCAAAATTTTGAAAAGACTTCAAGATTAGACAAGCTTTTCCTAAACCCGAGAAAACTAGATCTTATCCAATAAGGTTGATCGATTAAGGCACAAATTATTTTCAAATGATGTCCATTCTAACCCTCCTTGTATAAAACAAGGATTTCAAGGCCGGATTAGAATGGACCTAGTTTGATGAGGAAGCTATCTAACCTAAATTTTATTCAAAGAAAAAAAAAGGGACCCTTAAGCAACGAGTACTTCATCGAAGATGAGCTTATAACGAGATTCAACAATTGCATAGTTCCTACCACCTCAAGTGCGGGTCCGAAATTGTAAATGGTAGAATGAGAATATATTTTTATTATAATTGTTATAAACATTGTAATGTAAATGGTTGTTACGAGTAATTACTGAAAATAGCTACACTATTTTTATTGTTTAATGAAAGATGATTCAAAGTCACATTTAGAATGTACTAGAAGTTTAAATTCTAGATTTTTTTTTATGTATGCCGTCGAAGATGCATTAATCACTTTAGGTCTCACAAAAAAAAAGTAAAAAAAGTAAAAAAAAAAAAAACTTTCAAAGATGAATCCGATCTAGGATAGACATGTTTTTCTAATCATCCAAATATCTAGAGGTTAAAAATCTAATCGAGTTCATCTTCGCAAAAAAACTCTATCATGATTTGAACTTTGTAATAGTAAATTAAAGTATCCAACTCAGTTCATATCATGTATGTATATATTGTATATTTATTGTATATATTTATTTTGAGTTTGTTTATAGGAACCGAAATATAGGCTATCCCGTCAAAACTTATCTTCTTTCCCAAACACGTTACACTCAACTTCAAGTACGGCTAGATAAAAATTGAAGAGAAAGCATAATAGGAGCATGCCCATAAAAAATGACCATGAAGGAAAAATTACCCACTTATCCAAACTTCGAAAAAGCAATACCGATAATTCTAAGTAATGGGGGCACATCGAGCCAAGACCGAGCTCAATTTTGAATTATCGTTTGCCTTTCCAATGCCAATTGATAGCCCCGGGCCTTCTACCGTTCCACTCACTAATCCGAAGTAATAATATTCTCTCGTTGAAACATTATTCCCCACTAAGCCATTCTTCTATACAACGAGCCCATGGGTTCTACCAATGCAAGGTACACTCGGTGCATACATCACCGTTGGAAAAGTCCATATGATAAAGGCTACTAAAAAGCCTAGTTCAAATAAGTCGTTTGTAATCCAAAAATGCCTCAAGGCTACCAAAGGCATTGCTATACATGTGCCAATATGAGTTACCGGAATAGACACAATGTTAAATATGGCAATTCCTAGGAAACCTAAAGTTCCTAAATTCGATAAGTAAGTGGGCTCTCAATGTATACGATAGTAAGATGGTTTAAGCTTTGAGAATCTACTCGATACACTTCTTTTACAAGAGTCCGAGTGGATTTGCATTGAGCTGATGTATGAGATTGGATTGTGTCAAGATAAAAAAATAGAGAGATCAAGTTGATGCTTTCACTCAACGTAATAAATTTAACAAAGAGGTTGCTCTAAGTTCATCGGACCTACAAAGTAATAAAAAATGAGAAGGTTTCTAATGATTCCGAGAAGAAAGGAAGCAAGGATATCAAGTTAAAGAATGGTGAAATATACTAGGTTAGGACTCGAACTCTCTTGGTCTAGAAATCGATAGAGTAATCAAAAAGACATGAAAACCATAAAAATCCCAACAAACATCCAAAACCCTACATCTAACTAATATGTCTCCAACCTAACAATCACAATAGCCGTATTATGCCAAAATCAAATACAACCATATCCAAAAACCTAAACAAAACCACATCCAAAAACCTAAACAAAACCATATCCTAAAAACTAAAAAAAAACACACAAAACCATATCTAAAACTCAAATGCAACCATATTTCAAAAATCAAACCTACTAGTTACGTCCACTAAATCAACAAAACCAATCTAATTTGTCTCATCAAACTTACCCAAATAAGTTGATTCCTCTAAGATGCTCTACTATTCAAAAT